ATCGACCCTGGTCGACTAATTTGATCTATATATTTAACCTCGCAACCATTGCAAGGGATTTGGTAAACCAAATTATTTTGCCTAACTGCATCAATAGGATTTTCTAATCTACAAAGCTTGTTTCTAAGCGAGTTTGTTGGTTTAAGTGCCACTTTGCACCCTGTCTTATTGAGAATTCTTCATGATGCTTCTCAGGTGTCTTTCTTATATGGAGTTTTGAATTCTCTCCAACCGTATCACCACTATTACTATTATTAGTAGAATTATTATTGATAACACGTGTGTTACTACTACTGCTATTACTAACGTTTTTCTTTTGATTTCTGATGAATTTATTCATAAATTCAGATGAGTAATTATTGATGCGCAAGACATACTTAATACCTAATTTCTTGTCGTAGATTTTCTGGTCTACCAGTGAGTTTTTCCACCCTATCCCTTAGTCATTTAACTGAGATGGAGTGAGATGATTTGAAGTCTAAGTAACGATTCGAATAGGAGGGTTTACCATAGACAGTAGTCTTCAAGCTTCTTTTCGTTTTTCCTTGCAATCCAACACTGCTAGCTCACCCTGGCCACTTTCTAATTCACAGGTAAATTAGATCGCTTCACTACTGAATTTATATGTGTGGAGAACCTATTGGTGTTTTCCGATTTCAGTACTGTAAATGTGCCATCTACATATCTGAACCATATCTCCGGAGCAGGATTAAGTGTTTGAAGGGCCATCTGTTACCTACTATCTATAAATATGTCTGTGACGGTAGGGGAAATTGGTGATCCCATGGCAACACCTTCAGTTTGTTTATGTTTTATTTTGAAACTTAAAAACTGTAGATGTGAAGCCCAGTCATACTCCTAGCATGGTTTCCTCGATCGACAGCTCAGTTCTATGCGTTAAACTCATTTTCATCCTTAAACCTATTTCTAACTGCCTCTAGGGCCTCAGGGTTTCCACTCACTGATATCTGTAATCTTGAAGAAGCCGACCAGGCGGATAACACTTCTACACATATTCAGTTGCATTTTTATTGAACTATCTAAAAAACCTGTTTTCAGAGAATTTCTTTTTGTATTGTACTTAGGTAGTTGATTTGAAAAAACCGTTTAATTCTGAATAGCTGGTGGTTTCGTTTTAGGTGGAGTTAAATTCATTATTGTCAGCAAAACGCTATGAGAATAAGGTGTTAGGATATATGTAAGCTGGTCTGCATATGGTGTCATTTTTGCAGTATGGTATAGTGATAGAGACAACGTAGAATTTCATCTAGCTGCGTATCACTTCAATTTTCCAACGGCATACGCTGAAAATCATATCATATTGTGACTGGACGTAAAGTAGTGATGGGCGCTGGTGTCTGCTTTTGAAAGTATCATTTTCATTATGTCATGTGATTAATAAGTCTTACTGAAACTTTAGTTCGGTGAAATAGCAAGAATATTTGAGTTTTGTGTCAATTAAAAATGGTGTTAAATCACCCGTTTTAAGCTAATTATTGAGGGATCTAGGTACTTAAAACGCCAGTTGACAGAAATAGGGGGAACATGTGTTGATCTTGAATCAAAATTGCCTAGGTTTACTGGAGTGACTTTCAAGCTCACCCTAACAACTGATAAGACAACCAAATACGCTCCTCTATTTTATGGAAAACTACCTGCCCAGCCAAACTTCTGAAATCTGATTGGTTATTACAGTGATCACTAGGGGGACCTTATAAGTCACTAGCTTATAGGTCATTCTCTTTGGAATATGAATGGTAAATGTGAAATCAGTTTGCGAATGAATAATGCTGAAAATTATAATAAATATTCATCCGTCTTTATAATTTTGGACAAGACAAGGATAACTGGATGTATATAATGAAATAAATTGATTTATTTAGGGAGTTTCTCACTAAATGGAAAGGAGCCTACATCTAAAAGGGTCAGGTGTAACATCTTTCCTGTTGAAGTTCAAAACAAAGTTCAAGAGTTATAATAAATAATTGCGTCCTGAGAATATATTGGACAAATAGTGAAGTTTAACCCAAAATATTTCCTTGTCTTCAATATAAATGTAAAACTTGGGCACTGTGGTAGGATGCAATTCCATATTAGATTTGTTTATTTGATACATATCGCACAGTGATATAACATTATTTACTTGATGACGTTCCGAGCATAAATTTATTGCTCAGAATCATATCAATGTAATCACACTCCTTTCGATATCTGATTTTCATAGTCCTGTCAACTCATATTCTCTGTTTTGATTGGTAGTAGAATTTGCCACATCTCTGGTATACGTGTTACATCATTCCTATCACATCTTGTTGGGTTGCGTGTTGATCCGATGAACATAGATTCAGTAATCAATCTCTCTCACTCTCCACCTAATTATATTGAATTTAATTAAGTACAGTAATTTTATCTACCACCCTATTATGCAGTTGTGTGTTATTGCATGCATTGCAATAGCCGAGTTATTTCTAGATTACAGATCCTATTGGGGTCTATTATTCTATATTTAGCTAGATTTCTGTGTTTCGCTAATCTCACTGACCCCGGTCGACTAGTCTAACCTATGTTCACCTTAATTCCATCTTTGTTGGGGATTCTACGTAAAGTTTCCAATGTTCCTTCCTTATATGGTAATACAATAGAGGTTTCGGAGTAATTTCTACTCGTGTTGTCGTTAGTATCCATATTCACATTACTATTATCAATTTGCTTACTACGAATTTCCTAATAAACGGTAAAGAACAGTTATTAATTATGAACGTTTCTTTTATGTGTTTCAATTCGTTGTTTAAGTCCTAACACTGACTAGTCAGTTTTTTACTTCTGTCATTTAAACGTTTCACTTAACATTGGATGAAATGACCTGATGTTTATAGACTTGTTAGAATGTGTCGGTTTCCTGTAGACGGCAGTATCCAAACCACCGTCTGTCCATCGATTTATTCTGAAATCCAACACAGACTATTCTCCTTGTTCACTTTCTGCCTGTGAGGTCAAGTACATAGGTCAAACTAGTCGACCGGGGTCAGTGAGATTAGCTAAACACAGAAATCTAGCTAAATATAGGATAATAGACCCCAATAGGATCTGTAATCTAGAAATAACTCGGCTATTGCAATGCATGCAATAACACACAACTGCATAATAGGGTGGTAGATATAAAATTACTGTACTTAATTAAATTCAATATAATTAGGTGTAGAGTGAGAGAGATTGATTACTGAATCTATGTTCATCGGATCAACACGCAACCCAACAAGATGTGATAGGAATGATGTAACACGTATACCAGAGATGTGGCAAATTCTACTACCAATCAAAACAGAGAATATGAGTTGACAGGACTATGAAAATCAGATATCGAAAGGAGTGTGATTACATTGATATGATTCTGAGCAATAAATTTATGCTCGGAACGTCATCAAGTAAATAATGTTATACCACTGTGCAATATGAATCAGATAATCAAATCTAATTTGTTTGCTTGTCTAATTGTCGGGGGGAGGTAGGTTTCGGTGCTCTACGTGGTGTCAAAGCTGGATGAAAAATGCAAGGAAAGGAGTACATGTTATTTTCTGCACTAGATTTTGAGCCATGTCTATCGCCTCTTGGGACCTTTAAGCCAACACTTAAACGAAGAATAACCATGCTATTCAGCCACAACCCTGTGGCAAGATATATGGTCTAGCTATGAATGACATAAGTTAACCTGCAGTGAGAATTAAGTTAGTTCAAGGGTGAGCTATACAAGCGGCACAGACAAGGATGTCAAAAGCAAAATCGGAAAAGCAAGATAAGCTTTCATTAATCTGAAATCAGTGTAGAGATCCACTCCACTCAGCACAAAGAACAAGATCCAGATTTTCAATACAGATTCAGTCAAGTCAATCCTGCTATATGGTTCAGAAACTTGGCCCGTCACGAAAACCACTTCCAACAAACTACAGGCATTCATCAACAGTTGTCACCTACACTCACTCGATACTGAAGATCAAATAGATGGCCAGAAATAACAAGCAACATGGAACTCTTGCAACGAACCAACCAAGGACCCATCACCCAACAAATATACAGTAGAAGAAAGTGGAGATGGATTGAGCATACACTGAGAAGGCCGACTGGGGATATCATGCACCAGGCCCGGCCCTCAAGTGGAATCCAAAGGGGGAAAGACGAGTTGGGCGTCCCAGCTGAGGGTGACATGGAGGAGATGGTGTGAGGAAGAAATGAAAGCTTGTGGGCAGTCGTGGCACCAGGTTGAAAGGACTGGAGAGAACAGAGTGCAATGGAGGTGTGGTGCTGAAGCCCTATGTTCCACTAGGAAACCAAGGGAGAAATAATAAGGGTGGGTTAGGAAACCAGTCTCTTAAAATGAAGATTAAGCACATTGTTTTGGTTAGCATGAAAACGTTAAGCTCATCACGTTCTCCTTTTTTTCTCCTCCTTCAGCTGCCTCGGCTTTCAGTCAAACTGGAACAAGTGTTAAGCTTGATTAGCCAGAAATGTATTCAGTTAACAATATTTAATAAAGTTGACTTATTTTAGAAATGAGCTCCAAGTAAGATCAGACTAAGACATCGTGATAACACAGGAAATCACTAACTGTTAGTCTGCCCCCAGTTGAGATATGTAGACTTTGCAAAGATGTTAGGAGTTCCTACTGTTGAATGCATCTAAGTCGACAACAGCAACGCGAAGAAATCCAATTGGTGTCATTTTTAAAACTGAATACTTTATTGCTATTCTTTTATGATTCCCTTTCATTTCATATCCTTTTTTTTACTTCTTTTTGTTTGTTTCCTCTTTTAATGATGTTTTGGTGAAGTGTGACAACTTTTGCAGCCACTCTTTTGTGCCACTTTCTGCATCGATCTTTCTGTTTGCCTCTAGTTCTAGCTTATAGTCAGACAGTCGCATTGCTCAAGTTTTGTTTCCGTTCTTACTGTTCTCTGTATATACTAATCAATACTGGTATTGAAATCACTTTTGTCTTTTTGTAGCATCAAACATTTAAAAGATGAAAAGGTTGAACTAATCCGTAGGCTAGATGATGCAAATGTGAAATTAATTTGTTACGAAGCTACTGAGAAACAGTTTGTCAAAGAAATTGCCCAGAGTCAGTAAGTTTCATTGTATTTTTATTACCACTGCTGTGACATAAAGATCATAATTGAATCTTCACAACTACCTTCTTCCATAGATATGATTATTTTTAGATTCCTACTTAAAACAACCATCTCGTGTACATTATCCCAATCCTTTCATTATCTAATACACCCTTGTGACACATCGATTTACTGAAAAAAATGAACGAGACGGAAAGCTCGGAATCAATTTCAGTGGTGCGCAAGGATGCAAACATTATCTTTTGGGGACAAGAAGTAATGTAATACCACGTTTCATTTCGATTTCAACTGACTAACTTTCAGACGAAGATTACCTGTCAGCTATTAGTTGGAACATGGAAGTTGTTTGAATGAGATGAAACTTCCAGCAACTTGATAGCTCGCAATTGTATGCTACACATTTTCGTTATTTATGTGAAGGTTAAGACATTACTGAACACTGAATCTTCCCCCAGTGTTTCTTGCTGTCTGTTGCTTATCCCATGACAGTTCCAGTTATGATAAATAAAAATAATTTAACTTGATGTCACGTGTTTAGATTGACAACTGAAAAATGTAGGATGTCGAGACAGTCACGGGATTGTGACTCTCAGGCCTAACTATTTAATTATTAAGGCTGATTTAAAAGCCCACGATCGAAATAACCTATTACGTTTCTTCATTTTGACTGGAAAGGCAGATTTTCCACAAAATACAGAAGTCTGATTGGGTATTTCAGTTGTTTCTAGGCTGGCCTGTAAAATCACTCAATATTACTGCACTTGCAGCGTTTTACCAATGTGATGAGTCACTGACTCGACTGAACCAAAATATTCACAACAGTTTGGCTGCGAGTTTTTTTTCTCCTCCTACAATGGCGTATAAAGATTGACGATTGCTTACCCTTGTCTGAGTCATACATGCATGTAAATCTTATGCTAACAACGCATTACAGCTCATCAAAATGAAGTAGCTGACTTTAAACATGCGAACTGACATAGTGTATGATGATTGACCTTGTTCAATCATTTCATTAAAAAACGTGCTTGCGTCCACCTAATGCATTTCCAATAAAAAAACCTCGTGAAGTAGTAAGATAAGCAGTAAGTCTTCAGTGCCATATATATATATATATATATATATATATATATATATATATATATATATATAATAAAATAGTACGACGGATAATGTGTCGGTATGCTTCCTATCCTTGGTCTGTTATAACAATAACCAAGCTTATGATGTTCATAATGAGGATGGGTACAATTCATTTTCAACTGTACTCACGATCATTCATAATTGACTTTTGACAACAATAATTTACTGTGAATAAAATTCATTGAGATCTTTTCATTATTTTGACCATCTAAGATTACAGGAAACAAATCTGTGCATTTATCTGTAATTAAGCTCCATGAACATGTAATCCTGATATTCCCATTTACCAACCATCCCTCTTGAAGAGTATCCTTTATTCGATTTGAAAAATCCACTGTTATGGAAATCTTGCTGCTGTTAACATATATTTATTTCCAAATTAATATTATTTTGTATTAGGTTTTATGTTCCTATCCGGCTGCTTAGATTGACGTAGGTGGAGCAGATTCCAAACCCCATAGTCTGTTGTCTGGAATTCGAGTTCTTGAAGCAACAAGCCACCTTTTTATTCTAAATTAGTTCGACATCCATGGCTCTGCACTACTATGTAACATTTTCATAATACAAATAATACACTAGTCTGGTGGTGATAACATGTTAATAACAGTTTGAAACAATTAGTCCCTTTTATGAATTTGGATAATTATCTGAAAAGTGTGGTGTATTTACGCTATACATTCCGAACTATCTGATCAAATATTTACTCGTTTAGGCATTTCATATGAAAACTGGAAGTGGGAGAAGGATAAATATGACATAAAGGAATTTAATAGTCAGGAAGATAATGAAGGGAGAAGACAACCTTGGTAATACGATATGATAAGCATTACTAGAGTAGGTTTAATGTAACGATAAACTGTTTTTGAACAAACAACAGGGCTTAAATTTGTGTGCGACTAGCGCTTCAACAAACTTGAGTATACGGCACTGACAGTTTTTATACAGAATCTTGTGACCGTTATCAACAATATGTTTTGCAACAGATGATAATGGTTGTCTGCCACCTATGCCTATCGATGTTTGTGAATTCAGCTGCTTTTGTAGCCTTTTTAGTACATGTTCCCCCACCTTCAAGTGCATATCTCGATTAGTCATCCATGTGTAAGTGTATCCACACACACACATATGTAAATTGATAAATGCAGTGGGATAAAGGATGAAAGGTCAACGGTTGAAGAGACTATAGTGCAGAAGGATGGCTCTGCAACTCACTCGCAGAGCAGACGACTGGACGATGGACAGAATACTTCAAGGAACAGTTCAACTGGCATCCAGCTACCTTTGAGTTGCGCGCTATTCAGTCAGGTCCTAAATGGAACATTCAGATAGGCCCCAACACTTACAGAAGTCGAGAAGACGGTAGGTGACATGAAACAAGGAAAAGCAGAAAGTCTAGAACGACTAGTTCATGAGGTAATATATAGACGGTAGTAGAGTGATGTTACTCAAGTTAACTGAAGTGTCAACTGGTGTATGGGAGTCAAATATGATCCCCTCTGATTGGTCCCAAACACTGATTATCTCAGTCTTCAAGAAAGGCGGAAGTTCTCTTATGATAACCATAGAGGAATCAACCTGATGAACATAGTATTTGAGAGTTTAGATTCTAAGACTCGGGAACAGCAAGTTCGATAAAACCTAGCAGGTTTCAGACCTGCCCATGAGTGTATGGACCAAATATTTACTCCATCAGATTCACGAACATAGACACGCTTAACGATGCCTGACAAAAGCTGTATTTCGCGACCTGAAGGTGGCATTCGACTTTGTCGATCGAGAAGTCTTATGACAGTGTCTCATTGAAATCGGTACAGAGTACATCAACTTATTGAAGTCTATTTACTATAACACCTTTTAACGTGTTAGAGCCTACGGTGAGATGTCGAGTGGTGTCTGTGAAGGATGCCATAGACTTCCTTATCGATATCTCCCTCTCCTCATCTGACTACACGGGGATCGACTTGATCGCAAGAGAATTTTTCGTTGACGTAGAATACATAGATAACATAGTCCTAATAAGTGAAGATGAAGAGCCTTCTGGGCGCCTTAAGTTGCAATTTGAGAATGTTTGGGATCCTTTTTTTCGTCACCTATGTGCAAATTATTGCTCCAGAACTGGTCTTCAACGATGCCCCAGCTAGCAAGAGAAAGTCCATCCAGATCAACTTAGGACTAAGCATTAGTGCGTAACGGTCCGAGTTGCCACACCTCATATCTGTACATCCAGTAAAAAGGCAGTGAGGAGCAAGATGAAGATAATAGAATGCTGTCAAAAGAAATACAGCGTCGTTAGTGTATGTATGTATACATATGCGCCACTGACATTGGTTCTGAGCCATATCACATAGAGTCTCCAACCACTGGTTCCTCTTGTCCGCCGACCCCAACCACTTAGTCTACATCGCCCCACTTGGCTCAAACTAACAGTCAGAGACTTCATGCACTGGTGCCATTTTTAGTCTGGCCACCCCGGGCCTTTTTCCAGTCTGGATTTACTTCGGCCAACATTGTGTGACGAGGTAATCGGAGACTAGGCATACGTAACACGTGTCCCAAACACCTCAGTCGATGAAGGTTCACAACCTCGTTAATCGACTTACCTCTTCTCCTTAAAACTCCACTCCTGACTTTTGGGTTACTCACGTGGTGACACCACTGAATACGGCCTATACTACGAAGGCAACGGTGGTCAAACACCTGAAGCCTTCTCAGGTCTTCCACCTTCAATGACCATGTTTCACAGCCATAGAGTAGAACAGACCGGACTGCTGTGCAGTACACGCGACCCTTAGTAGACAGTCGTATATCACGGTGGCGCCACAGGTGGCGTAAGTTGGCGAAGCCGATCGAGCCTTTTGTATCCGTGCAGAGATTTCACCGAACACTGAACCATCGAGGCTGATCCTACTTCCCAGGTAAGTGAAGTGGTCAACACACTCAACCATTACACTGTCTATTGTTAGCCGTGTCACCGTTGAAGACCAAGCCTGGAGGAACAATTTGTATTTGGGTGGCGAGAATCGCATCCCAAACATTCTCAAATTCCCACTCAAGGTGTTCAGAAGACTCTGCATCTTGTCAGCGTCTTCACCTAACAGGACTATGTCATCTGCATATTCTAGGTCTAACGAAAATTCTCCTATGATTAGGTCAACCTCTGTGTTATCAGGCAACGAGAGGGAAACCTCCATAAGAATATCTATGATAAAATTAAATAAGAATAGACAGAGTGGGCACCCTTGGCGGACACCACTTGATGAGTACAGCTCCCCGGACATCTCACCATAGGCTCTAACATGTCCACAAGTGTTCGAGTAGAGAGCCTTCAATAAGGTGATATACTTACTAGGCACGCATTTCAGTGAGAGACATTGCCATAAGACTTCTTGATCAACGGAGTCGAATGGCACCGCCTTCAGGTCGAGAAATACAGCCAGTGTCGGGCGCCGGTAAGTGTGTCTGTGTTCCAAAACCCGGCTCGGTGTACTTGTTCAACACATCTACGGCCAGGTGTTAAGACTGCTTGGTTTTCTCGGGCTTGTTGTTTCCGAGCTCCACTCAGGCGTCGGAGAATTATAGAACCTAGAATCTTAGACACTGTGTTCGTCAGGCTAATTCCTCTGTGGCTATCACAAGAGGACTTCTCACCTTTCTTGAAGACTGGGATGATGAGTGAATTAGACCAGTCAGAGGGGATCATATTTGATTCCCATATACTAGCTAACACTTCCGTTAACCTGACTAAGAGCACTCTACCACCATTCTTGTATATCTCAGCAGGTAGTCCGTCTGGTCCCTATGCCCTTCCTCGTTTCAAGTTACCTACCGCTTTCTCAACTTCTAGTGTTTGGGGGCCTATCTCTATATCCCATTCAGGACTCGACTGGATAGCGGGCAACGTAATGGTGGCTGAGGCCAGTTAAACTGTTCCTCGAGGTGTTCTGCCCATCGTTCCAGTGGTCTCTTCTGCGAGTGAATCTCAGATCCATCCTTCTCCACTATGGTCTCACTAACCGCAGTCGACCTTTCCCCCCCAGTTTCCTTAATAAGTCTAAATAACTGTCTACTGTTACCAATCGCGTCCTCCTTTTCCATCTCTTTAGCCTTCGCTGCCCAACACTGTTCGCGATCGTTGCGTAAACTTTTTCTCAATCTACTTTAAAGTTGCGCTCACTCTTTATTGCACTTGGGGCCTGCAGGGATGCATTCACGTGTATCGATTAGTTCGGAAGGAGCTGCTGATATCCACTGGCTCTTTTTAGCCATTACTTTGGAGTCGGTTACAGTTTCCAGCGCTGCTTTTACAGCAGACTTGAGATGGCACCAAGCTTCTTCTGGATGATTGATAGTTTTCTGTTCCGATGACTGTCTAGTCAACTTCTCACTGAAAGTGACTTTGGTGTTTCCGTTTTCCAGCAGCACTGGTGGTGGTTTTGTTGACAAATTTTATCTGCGTCGATTGAGATGTAGGCATATACGTGCTCGGACCAACGCATGATCGCTGTCCGAATAAGTACTCCAGAAGGAGTGACAGTCTTCCACCGATCCTCTCCAGCAATGACTAATAGCAATGTGGTCTATCTGTGTGCATTGCTGAGTTGAGCTCGGTGGACGCTAGGTCAGACAGTGTCTTTCTTTATTTATGAAATTTGTGCTAGCTAACAATAGGCGGTTATCTGAGGACAGTTGTAGTACTTGATTTGATCACCGTTATCTGTTCGTTCAAGTGGGACTCTGAAAGTGCCACCTAATTGCCTTTCTGCCTCACTCAGTTTATCCATCTCTGCATTGAAGTCAACTGCAACAACAACTATGTCCGAGCGTTTGGCTTTGGAGAGGAGGCTAGACAGTTTACGGTAGAAGTCGTCCTTCACTTCATTCGAGCTACAGTCAGTGGGAGTGGGTGTGTAAGCAGAGATTACAAAGAGACAACGGTGAATCTCCTATTCATTTTAGTTTCACCGTGCCGTTCAGTCGCATAGTGCAGAGGCGAAAATCAACTGGGATCTAGTCTCGTAGTGAGTTTTCTGCCCTAGTGCTTAATGCTATGTCTACACCTGCAAGACTGTGAGAACTAGGTATCGAATATGCAGGAACTCGAAGGGTGAATTTTTGCTGATTTATCAGATTGGTCAGGAGATGTTAGGTGAATGACTGCACTTGGGTGCAGTGTGCGTGTCTCACAAACACGGTAGACATCCATGGCCTAAGTTGCTAAAGTCTTTGCCAACAAATCCTGTTGACGAATTTGAGGGGGTGGGGGTGAGGACATTGAAGGCCCCGATGCATAATTTGGAGCATGGTTTAAGGAGACTAGTGGTGCTGTTCTGTGGACTCAGATCGTTGTTGAAGGGTGTAGAGTTAGGAGAAATTGAAGATGATGTGTTATCGTTAGTTGAGAGATGTGAAGGAAGATTAGAAGGTAATGATGATGGTGGGGGTGGGGGAGGAGGGTGAGAGTGAGGGTGAGGTGGATAGTAGTCTGAGGAAACTTGTGTTCTTATCGAGTTGTGAGGGCGATTGACACTTCCCAGCTGCCCCCACTGTGTAGGGCTATTTATTTTTGAGGCGCCTACCTGGAAGAGATTTGTGTGACCGCAGAGCCGATCGGACATCTGCTTGAGGCCTTTCACACGTAGCCTTTTGTGTATGGTTGTTTTGAACTTTAGTATTTTTGGGGCCTGATGGTCGGAAAGAAACGACAAATGAACCGACACCGCCTGGCTGGCAGATCGTGAGTTATGGTGGAGTGTGTTATTTTTGAGGCCGACCTTTTGTAACTCCTCGTTGCATTGAGAAGGCAGCGTCAGCATGAGACTGCTGGTCATCTAAGGGAAACAGCTTACTGGTGTTACACTCCATCCAGCTAACAGTAGTGCGACTTGGCCCTCAGACGCCCATGATAGTGTAGTAATTTACACCACGACGGTAACTGCTTTTCGTCTAACCACTATCGACTGGACCTTTCTGGTATGTTAGGATATTGAGGTAACGAGTGTTCCATCAGCATAGCTTGTTGGTCATTGTGATATGCAATCGCGACCACCACGTCAAGGTAGCAGCTATAAGTGAAGTGGTTGAGTTGGTTAAACAGTTCTCTTACTTGGGAGGTCTGATCAACCCCGGTGTGTCATTGACTGTTGGACTCTCTGGAAGGATACGTAAGAATCAGTTGGCTTCTGTCAATTTCCGCCGCTTTGTTTCCCTTTATGACTGCGAAACATGGCCATTGAATGTGGAAGACATGAGAAGGCTTAAGGTCTTTGACCACCTTGCCTTTGTACCATAGACCTTGTTTCGTGGTGTCAGTACGTGAGTAATGCGGAAGTCAGATGTAGAGTTTTAAGGAGGTGAGGTAAGTCAGTTGATGCGGTTGTGAACCTTCATCGACTGAGATGTATGTGAGATGAGTTGCATATGCCCAACCACAGTCTGCCTCATCACACAATGTTGGCCGAAGTTGTTCCATTTTTGTCTGTTTATTAGAAGCAGATTCAGGCTGGGAAAGGTTCTGGGTGGACAGACCAGAGCATGTCATCAATGCACAAAGTCGTTGATTGTTGGTTTGAGCTACATAGGGGGATGCAGACTAGCCGGTTGGTGTCCGTGGGAGATGTGAAACCAGTGGTTGGAGACTCTAGGTGTGTATGGGTGAGAACTGATGTCAGTGGTGCAGATGTGTACACATACATTATCCGCATCTTAACTCGTATACTTATTCTCATTTTCTCATTCTTCCTTCCTCTTTTTTACTGCTTTCTAGTTCAACTTCCTTTGACCGGTTTTACTTTCCTTCTTTATCTTTCATTTTATTGCTTTGTTACTTGATGTGTTGATTTGATGTGTGACAACTTGGACCGTTGCGGAGTAGTGCCTGCTCCTATGTTGGTTTTGATTATGATGTGGCCAATCGTTTCACGCAGTGTTGACGTCTGCGTTGCAATATGTGTTCGGCCATCTCAGTAACAACAAGCCTAGCATCATTATCAACATAGGACCAGGCATTACTGCGTAACAGTCCGAGTTGCCACACCTCATATCAGCATATCAAGTAAAAAGGTAGTGAGGTGAAGGATGAAGATAAGTGAATGCAGTCAAAAGAAATATAGAGTACGAAAAGAAAAGAAAGAGGAGTGACAAAATGGTGAGATTCGGTATAGCGTTGTTAAGTTGAGGATAATGTGTGCATACATCTGCGCCACTGACTTCGGTTCTGAGCCATATCACCTAGGGTCTCCAACCACTGGTTCCTCTTGTCCGTGGACCCCAACCACCTAGTCTGCATCGTCCTACATGGCCTAAACCAACAGTCAGAGACTTCATACATTGGTGCCATGTTTTAGTCTGGCCACCTCGGAAAAAGGCCTAGCTGTATGGTATGGTTTGCTAACCGCCGACCTCAGCCTTTGCCTTAGAATTACGCTGTAAGATTTCCCTCTGTATGGTATTGCGATATAAACGCATTTCTTCGGAACACAATACATAGTGGCTGGTTTTCACAACGGTTTACGAACTTCAATGGACATCCATTTTCCACTGTCTTTCCAGTCAGTATTTTAATGTCATCATCCATCGAATCTCCCGTAAAGATACACTGGATCTTTTTGAATAGACAGATTACGAAACCTCGCTTGTATTGACTTAGAAAAAAGCAATGGAAACTGAAATACTAATCTATCCAAGTAGGTTTCTTGTTTATCGACCGTTTTGTTGAACTGTCATTCCTTCGACTCAGGAGTATGTCCAAGAACGGTATACGGTTATCTTCCTCCTCTTCACACGTTAAGTGTACTCAACATCGTACGGTCACTGTTTTAGTTTTCGTAACTTTTGTTCTACTAAATATTAGATA